CTCTCTCTCTCTCTCTCTCTCTCTCTCTCTCTCAAGTTCTCAACTCAACAATACCCAAGTGTTAGAATTCCAGTTACAATTCTTGGAGAGAGGTAAAACTGTTCTCTTTCTCTAGAAAGTATTAAATTTCAGAATTGGGGTTTCATTTATTTGTGTTTTTTTTTTTTTTAACAAAAAAAATTGTGGGGTTTGAATAGAAAATATCTTTTAGTTCTTATTTTTTCAGTTTGGGGTGTATTTAAGGGTAGTTTGGAAAGATAGTGGGGTTTTCTTAGAAATTGTGAAAATTTAAATTAGAAATTGGGGTGAACTTAGAACATGGGGTGAACTAAGAGAACTGTGGGGTTTAAATAGAAAATCTCAAAGTATTTAAAACTCTTTTTACTTATTAATCGGAGCACGATGTCGTTTTACAGTTTTCCCCTTGTTTCTGTTCTTACATTCGAAACCGGAGCATCAGCGCAGCTTTCCTTTGCCTGATAATCTCTCTCTGCTTCGTTCCATCTCGCTATCCCCTACCCTGGACTCTCTGAGACAACCGGTTCGCTCTTGATTTTGTTCACGTAGCAGGTAGGTACCAATTACGCTTCAAATTTTCAATTTCAGATTTTTATATCTAGGGTTTCGTCTCAGATCAATCTTATTCACAGTTTAGAGTAGGTTCATGAAAATCTGATTCCATTGTCATGAATCATGGCTATAGGCCAGGATCATATATTGATATTCAAATTACTTTGGCCTTATTACCATAACAATTTGTTCTTTGAGGAACTCGAATGAAGGGGCAACACTGGATTAGGCAGGAATTTTGTTTAATATGGTTCAAGTTCAAATTTTTAGTACATTATCTGAGTGAAGAGAGCTCTTACTGTTAATTACATGCAGGTTGCACGCAGAGTTTGATGCTCTAAATTTCAGAAGCTTCGTTTATGCTTGTGTGCTGGTCCTGCTGGAACTTGAATTCTCATCATATTCCCTTTTTTGTATCATGGTAAACTTATTTTCGGAGGCATTTTCTTTTTTTCCTCTTTTTTAAACCTTTTTCAGGTATATGTTTAGAACCATCTTTCTGTTATGCAGCATATGTGGCATTTCTCATGCCCATTCTTCCCACATTTGTTTTAGTTTCCTTGGCTTTGTTTTTTCTGTACTTGTTCTGATAGTTGCCTTTCAGTTATTGCATTGTTGTGTTCTTTAATCTCGGTAGTTGTTAGAACTAGAATTTGAATATATATATATATATAGAGAGAGAGAGAGAGAGGTAACTCTATGAATTGAAAAAGACTTTGCTTCTATAAAGGTTCTTCTTTTTTCCCCACGGTAAACACTATTTGATATTTCTAGCAATTTGTTTATGTTTCTGTGACTGTGTGGGTTGGGGGAGTCATGTATCTATGTGGCCCCTGTCTGGGGCTGCCTGTGGTGGTTAGTGAATGCCAAAAGGCCCTTGATATCTATATGAACTTTGGACTTGAAAGATGGACCTGACAGTGGAATCCGAGGTGATGGGATTTATATATTCGGGTAACCAAGATTACCAGTCTGGTACTTCTGTATGGCCCGAAGGAGAAGCTTGTCCACCGGATTCAGCTTGAAAATGATTGCTTTGCAAAATAAAAAGAGAAGAAAGTGATTACTATTCTGACACTTTGCTGTTTGAGAACTATCAGTATAAACATATTATACAATCTTAGCAACATGTCGGAATAGTTTTTATTAGATATTTCATATTTGGTGCTAGATGGCATTACAGAATCCTGAATTGGGTTGTGATGGATAAGTGCAGGATCCTAATGGATCTGGTGATGAAAATAGTGAAAGCAAAATCTACATTGGTAACCTTGATCTGAGGATAACGGAGTAAGTAAACCTTTGGAATACCCGACCAAATATTGAATCTTTATTGCTCTAGTAATTGCTCTAGTACCCGTGATAATTAATATGATCACGCTCCTGCATTTTCCAGGGCTGCTCTAATTAAGATGTTTTCTCCATTTGGGAAGATTGTAACTGAGGACTTTTTGTGGCACACTCGTGGCCGAAAACGTGGAGAGCCACGGGGTTTTGCTTTCATCCAGTATAGCAGCAAAGAGGTAAGTAAGTTGCTTGCTTTCTTATTAGTTAAGTTTCAAGCAATTCCTGATTTCCACCGTTAAAGTAAGCATGCAGGAAGCAAAATTGGCCAAGGAGAAGATGCATGGGAGACTAGCTTGTGGACGCCCATTGGTTGTTCGCATTTCCAGTGAGAAGTACACGGTAGAAGCAGCAGAAAATTCTTCAAAAGGAGCGGGCGAGGCAACCAAAACAAGCCTTTCTGGTAGTAGTTCAGGACAGACGAGTCGGAGCTCTAAAATAGCAGCAATCAAGAACAAATTGAAAGCCTTGGAAGAGGAGGGCTTTAGTGCCAAGAAGCAGAAGCAAACTGACACATCTTTGCAGTGATATTGCTGATCATCCATCTGGCAAAAGTTAACAAACTACGGCGCAAAATCTTGCTCAATTTCAAGTTGTAATTAATCGAAACTTGCCAGAATTGAACACAATACACTTGATTCAGTTTCAGAATTTATCAAAACATGAGATGTAATACAAAATGACTAAATTGACAACCACAGAATTTGCTCAGCTGTTGGAATTATTTAGGAGGTTTAAGAAGGCTCTTTCTTGATCGAAGGTTCGGCTCAATGGCGTTGAGACTAACGAATCGACAAGAGGGCAGACAAAGATATGGAAAGAAATCAATCGAGTATGTCTTTGCCGGCCAATCTTGGCCTCCTTTTTTTCGGCTAAATTGTAATTAAACGTGTAATTAGTGCTAATGAGCATTCATCAAAGCTTTTATTAAAAACAAAAGAACATTAAATAAAGCTTAGAATTTGCTAAATTTGGAAGATCATATTGAGCTCTCAACTTTGTTTGTCTGGCGAAAATAGAAAGAAAAATCACATGGGGTAATAAAGGTGGTGAGAGTAGGACCTGCAGTACAAGGCTTTTCATTCCATAATCGATGAGAGTTATTTACCAAAAAGCAAAAAAATTAATAAGAGTGAAGTCAATGAATCATTGACCGAGAGTACACTCCCAAGCAAACAACTTTCAAGTTTTCGACTTCAATCAGAAATTAATCTGTTTCCGATGGCTACGGTGACATCGAGGCTCTCAATCGGACCTGCTCCTCCTCCTCGTCCAGCTTTACCGGCACTCCAACGGTCAAATTTGTCTACCCGCCAAAACCCGAGTCTGAGTGTCCGTGTCTCCCCCTCACCCAGCACCATCACCAGCAGTAGTTCAGTAGCTGATCCGTTGAATAACAGAAGGCAGAGCTTTCTTTCTCCTCCGGCTCCTCCTGATCTGGGAGATCGATCTGTAGCCGTCAGATTCCAACTCAACGCCCCTCTCATTTCGTCTCACGACCAATGGGGCACCTGGACTGCTCTCTTCGCCACCGGCGCTTTCGGTATCTGGTGATCACATAATTCACAATCAAAAGCTTTCTTTTTTGCTTTTCAATTTTCAAACAATTCAAAGTTCAGCTCAACTGATCTAAATTGAGCTCCTTTTTTGTTTTTAATTCTATTTTAAAAGGTCAGAGAAGAACACGAAGGTTGGGGCGGCATTGAGCGGGGCATTGGTGAGCACATTGATCGGACTTGCAGCGAGTAATTTGGGAATTATTTCATCGAATGCACCCGCATTTTCGATTGTGTTGGAGTTTCTGCTCCCACTGGCTGTGCCATTGCTCTTGTACAGGGCAGACTTGCGACGTGTGATCAAATCAACCGGGGCTCTTCTCTTGGCCTTCTTGCTTGGATCCGGTAATATTGAGTTCATGGCTTTTCTGTTTCTGTAATTATTTCATTATGATTTTTGTTTGTTTGAGAAATTGTTAATAATTGAACTTAATAAAGAAAGGAAGTTAATTCTAATCTTAAGGCACCCTGTTGTATCAAATTTTGTAA